TCTTCATGGAAAGGGACTAGCAAAATATGGGAGATTTATGTTTCCATCTAAGAATAGAAAAATCTAATTATGGTAAATATGTTGCCATTTCCTTCAAGAGATAGGAAAACTAAATATGGTAAGAAAATTAGGACAACACCTAACACTGTATTGCGTATTGTTAGTTTGTATAGTTTGTACTGTTAGTCTTTTAGTTCATCGTTAGTTAGCAGTAATTAGTCATTTAGTCAGGATGACGTGGCAGCATCTTATTGCTTGAGTTAATTAGTTAGTCTGTTAGTGGGCGTCCTGTATATAACTACCTGCACCTAAACTGATGCTTTCATTTTGTCTGAAAATACTTTCTTCTTCTCCTCTCTAGAAGCTTCTTCCATTATATATATTTGCAAACAACTTGATCCTTTAAATTTACCAAAGTGAGCACTTTTGATATCCCTTAAATATCAACAAATTTTAGCTATTTAATAAGAATTGAAAAAGTAATTAAAAAAAACATTTGATCAAAGGGTAGAATGACATAAGCAAATGTTGTATCGTAGAATTACACTATGAATAACTCCATAAGGTGACTTTGCAGTATTTTAGCCCAGTTACAAGTTTACAAATGTGTAGTCTAATATCAATAAACTCATATCCGAATTTTCTTTTGATTCTCCAAATCTTCCGGCGTGAAAGAACCTTGAGTTTCCATTCTCCTTTTTTCCTCAAGTTTATACATACCTATCCCATCTATAAAAATGCAAAAACAGACGCGACAACCTAAAATCTCTTCTTCTTCAATGCTAATCTTATTAAATTTTAAATATGATTTTGTGACAAAATTTGGAGTGGGTATTGTTTGAACTTATTAAAAATAGTCTAAGTAGGTTGTATACAAAGTTTGAAGTCATTTGATGGAGTTTGGACTAGTTTTGAACAAGAATTGCAAGTGAGATTGTATAAGAAGTTCGTCAGAGATGTTTATACACTTTTATACGATATTATACACTTTTATACAAAGAGGTACATTTTGTATATAGTTGTATAAAAGTGTATAAAGATGTATAAGTACTGTAAAAAAATGTTCGTGACACCTATGTATATACGTGTAGAAGAAGAAGAAGAATATGTGAGACATATACCAAATACATGTAAATAATGTATTATTGTGTATGAGAGTTGTTTATACACTATTATATACTATTTATACAATTTTATACATTATTATACGGAAGAATCCTATCAATGGAACTTCGCATGTTCTTCTTCTTTCTTGGGGATCTTCTGAAATTTAACTCAAATCTAGCTTAAATCTACTCCAAATCACTTCAAATTTAAGTTTTGAACTCCCCTTGACGATTCCAATCAATTGGGACAACACCCAATCCAAGCAACTAACAGATCAAAAAACGCAATTTCTGAAATCGAAGCTTTGATACACCTTTAATGGTGACTTCTATTTTCCAAGTTTTTAATCAACCATTGGAATTAGAATTACACATGGAATGAGGATAAGACTGAGACCATGCCAATACCTTCTTTCTAGTTTCGTGATCCAACAACCTACCAAGTGAACCTCTTTAGTGCAAACACAGTTCTTTCCACTCCATTGAAGGAAGTGATCTTCATATGACTCCGAAAAACTAATTCTTTTACGTATTATTTTTTCTTCTTCATAAAATAGTGATCATCGGCTTTGAATCTGGAGGAGCGTTGATGGAGAATAACAATGATGGAGAAAGTTTGGAATGCAAAGTTGGGACACGAGGAGAAAAAGAATAGAGAAAAGAAAATAAATAAATAAAAGGATGGGCTAATGGATGAAAAATAATTTTCACATTATATACAACCTGGGCCATACTGGGTAAGAGCTTCAAACGTGAGCCATTTTTTGATGGGCTATTGAGCCAAGTGATAAGGAGCGTAATTCTCCCGCAATCAACTACGGTTTAAGCTTTAAAACATATTGAAGGTTTTTAATGTGAAGAATCGTTAATTTAGAAAGAGGTACCATTTGATCAGTTAAATATTAGACTTACAGCTGTGATAGAATTTTTTTCACTAATTGCAGTGATTATAATATTACTCGTTGACATAATTTTTTGGGGTAAGGACGTGAGTGAATGTCTTCACGTGACTTTCTTCTATCTTTGTCATATGACTGTATCAACCTTGACGAGTATCTCTAATCTCTATAGCAATTTTCTTTTTTAGTCGGCATATTTGGTGAGAATCTGAATTAATGAGTTAATAAATTTTAGATATTAAATGCTTAAAGAAAAAAAAAGAACATGACTAGCTCACTCGAATAGTACTTTGTATATATTTTAGGAAAATTGGAGATAGTAGGATCATATTAACTTTTCGTTTGTGAAATAAACTCTAAAACAAATTGAATATGAAAAGATAAAACAAATTTGTATAGCCGCTCTAAAAAGTAATAGCCGTATATATATATATATATATATATATATATATATATATTCT